GCATTTCTTCAAGTTATTAAATATTAAAGGATGGAGTGATTAAAAACAATTGCTCCTGACAACAAACATGTGAAGGGGGTGTTTCTTAAAGTTCCGTTCAAATGGAGAGAGTGGTCACAAAAACTTAATTATTACTAGCTAACAAGTAGACATCAGGGAATTAATAAGATTATTATACAATACAATAATACCCCTTCATAATATTAGGTTTAGTTAGAATTATCAGGTTTATTCTGGTGTTTTATTTTGGCGTTTTATAGGTGTTCAAAGCACTTCAAAATGTGCATTTAGGGTTGAAGACCTCTGGCAGATCAACCACGGTCAGATTGTCTCCCGTATCATCTCATCCATCCACTCCTGAGCCTCTGCGCTCCGACAGCAGCTCCCTGGACTCTCTCACTCATCAGTTCTCTAAACTCCGCCCTCAAGAGGACACGTACCCCTGCCTTCACAAGACTGTCTGTCCCACCTTGACCTCTGTCGTGACTCAGTCTAGCTGCTCAGAGTCAGAGCTGAATGCTGAATCATGGGCTTCACAGTCCTCTGGTATGCCGTGTGAATCGGATGAGAGTCAAGGCTTTTCTCAGTACTTGACAGGTCACTGTAGCAGAGCTCAGGTGACGTCATGTGGGGCCTGTGGCATTCAGAGCACTAAATCAAGTGGTTCTTTAGTGGAAAACTCATCACAGTCCAGTCCCAATGAAGGTAATGAGCTTATTTTATTTGTTATTAAAATGGGTAGATCATAAATAGTTAAGAGCCTTTTTCTGAATGTACTGTATGTTATTATAACTTTCTAGTTGGCCCTGTCTAAATTTACAGATTTTTCTGACAAGAAAGTGTTTGTAAATCCTGTGAGGCAGCGACTGGTCCAAAAAATGGAGCTTTATGAAGAGGGAAGGATTTTAACTTCTGATCTGCTGTCATCAGGCGCCTCATTATGTAAGTGTCCAAATCAACCGTAACTGGATGACATTACTGTATACAACAAATGCTTCATTCAAACTGAGCTGAAAATTACCCATATTGGTCATAGATCCTGCATCTGCTCGATCTTATTGCCCTTTGGCTGATGTCTGGAGATTTGCTTTTGAGGCATTGCTCGAGTCACAAATACTCAGTTTTCACATTTAAAGTGCAACTGGGGTGACACATACAAGGCTAAATACAAGACCCCCATATTCTAACAGGTCCCAATAAGCAATAAACACATATTTTGAATGTCTTATCTGGCATTTGTATGTATTGTCTGTATTTTTATTTGTCAATGTCACGATTTTCATCACTATGATACCAAGGTTATTATAGTTGACACAAAACTATGTTTGGTATTTGAAATGAAATAAACTTTAAAGGCACAATATGTAAGATTTTTTTATTAAAATATCCAAAAACCACTAGAACAGTGTTATAATATTTTGCTGACTTGTGTTACTTACATTATCCCAAATGTTTCGAAGAATATTTTAAAATCCAGAGAAATAAGCAATTTTAACTAGTGACATGGACCGTGTCCATAGTGTCATTGTGTCGCCTGCCAACGACGTCATAACCCCTCGATTTCCGGTTTTGTTTTGTAGAAAACGTGGAAACACCAAAGACGCTTTAATATGTTGTGCGTTTTAATAGACCGGTGACGACCGCACAGAGTAGCATTATAACAGAACTTTCAAACCTGTCTAGTATGATAAAACAGCGCTGCTTTTTTCCCCCACATACGCACGACCGGAAGGACTGTGGCATAATAAAAGCTCCGCTGCTTTCGAGCCATGTGTCACGCTCGTTCAGCGGCCTCGTTTCGCTTCGACGGCTTTCAAATTACATATTGTGCCTTTAACTGAAATAAAATATTATATGAAAATGCAGAACAACACCTATGGTCACCAGATTACAGTACATCACTTCTCCGACGACATTCGAAGACCCGACAAATGCAGAGTCAACATGTTCAATCAGCGAAAACAAGCAGCAACAGATGGTGATTAGACAAAACCCCACAAATGTGTCAGATTTCTGCTTCTGTCGGTGCAGTGTGAATTCTTTAATATTGAGTTAAAAACATGCAAGAGGATCTTTACAAAATGTGTCAACACAAAATTGCAGTGCTTGTTTGTTTGAATCCGTAATATAGCCTATTTATGCTTTTTCATAATTCTGTAGACCGGGAGATGAATGCTGAAACGAGGGAGCCAGAAGAGAGTGATGAGTTTGCAAGCGAGACGTCTGGAATCAACATGCAGTCGCCTGCTGCAGTTTAACACTGGATGTTTGGAGGAAGAAACCCAGCAAATATGTTTTTAAAATATTACATGAAATATTCACAAATGTCTTTACGGTACTTTTTTTACGGTTATGGTAGAGAAAGTACCTTCATAAATACCTCGCCAAAGCTGCAGATTAATAATCTTTTTTTTTTTTATGGTAATAGCAAGTGAAACGTGGTACGGATGACGAAAGCTCTGTAGTTATGAACCTGTGAATCTTGACTGTCAAGCCAAAGAAATATAAAAGTGCATAATTTATTGTTATACGCCTGTTAGTTTGGCGATTGAATGTCTGTCTGTTGCTTCTTGTTGTTTTTGGCTTAGTTCTCAGCAGCATATTGTTTATAACATAATGTGAAGTTTATGGATTATGGCCAAAACATCTACTTCTATGAGTAGTATTTAACTATTTAAATACTATTAGTACTATTTAACATTAATGATTAATCTATTTCTATGGTACTAACTGGTGATTGTTATATACATTAAATTAAACATTTAGCCTGTGCAGTCTTCATTATGCACATTAGATTTTTTTTTTCTAGTTCGATTACTGCAATGCCAAAACAGTTTTATATGAAACACATAACAGCAATTTTACAGATTTCTACATTCAGCCCTTTGCTTTATAACTGTATACAATGACTTGTAAAATGTAATGTAATAACTTTTAAAAATTCTTCTTAGATGCTACGATTTAATCTGCTCTCTTGAAAGAAAAAAAAAGTTCAATTTGGGTCATTTATCAAACCTCTTGGTTTTTGTGAATGAAATACAACTCTTTTGTTTATTGGCAGTGGAGTGTTTTTTAAGCATATAATAATAAGCATATAATATTTACATGAATTATGATTATCAGATAGTTATTTCATGCAGAGATCATGAATATTGGAGATGGTGGTCTCTAACAACATGTTAGAGTTACAGGAGAAATTACCATGTTAACCATAGATTCAGTTACATAATAAAAATATATTTTACATGAATTCTGTGTGTATATTCTGTAATGGAGACCCACTGTATGTTTAGATATCAATGCTAAAATATTTCCACCTTTTTATATTTTTATTATATTAAGATTACATTAACAAAAACCATAAAAAACTATGATAATCTAAACAAAGGGAAAGAAAGAAAGAAATATTGTGCCATTAATTCCACCACCCTTAATGTAAAGTTGTGGGGGTTTTTTCGCCAAGGAGACTCATTGAAGAATTAAAAATAAAATAAAAATTTAAAAGCTTTAAATTTAGAACATTCCAATAACTATTTACAAAACCTTTTCTGAAAAACAAAATTATTTTCATTCATCTTCCAAACGACTTATCATTCCAGCAGATTTGCAGGCCCGAAATATAGTTCAATTATAGTTTCATAAAACATTTATTTAAAATACTGAATTATGTCTTCGTATACTCTCACATTTTATGGCTAAAGAATCAACATTACATAAATGAAAATATGCCTTTTGTCATCCAACAACATTCCAAACACTATATGGTTTCCAGAAAAAAAAAGTAGGCAGTGATTGGACCCTTGTTTCCAAACCAATAAATCATATCTGCCCAGAAAATATTTGAGCGCATACAGTAAGAATGCGATGTTGTGTGCCGTGCTGCGCGCGCTCTAGAGGCTGCCTCTGTTGAATTATTGAGCGCTTGTCAAGAAGATGGCGGCTTCCTGGGCGGCATGAAAAGATGTAGAGTTAGCTATATCTACAGTGAAAGGCGCACCCAGGGTCGAATTCGTTCTCTGAGTCCTCCCTGGTGATTTTTAAATTAAGTTAACGAATCGGAACGAGTAAGTATTTGGTGCCAGGCAATGACAGAATCCGAATTTTGTTGCTTTCTGTGACGGCTAACGGTACATCCGCCATTTTTCTTGAGGGAAGCTAAGCGAGAAGCCAGGGACGAAACAATAACAACTTACTGAACTGTGCATCTCGAATAAAATCACACTTGCAATTTTAACAGTAAATAAACATGAAACCTGTGACATTTTCTCTGTTGTGCCAAATTAGTATGTAGAATTTGCAGTGTTGTAATGAGCTATTTAGCATTGAAGCTAACTGGCTGCCCAATGGATCTCATTGAACATTTCAGCTAACGTTAGTGTGCTAATGCGGCTAATAGCTAACAGCAGCCAATGTAAGTTGTTTTTAGTCTAATCAGCGCTGTTTTGTAAGAAAATAATTCTGTATTTGAAGAGTTTTATTGTGTATTTGTTTATAAATATACATATGCATTTGGATGACATTTGGGTGGATTGTTTGGTTTGTTTATCAAGAAGGCGGCACCCAGACGAGAGGCATGAAAATTCCACATACCACATAAAGCTACACTAATAACCTAACGTTATCTGCATTTGTTTTAATGCGGACTTTAAACGCGTCAATTTTATAAGCTTTTAACACATTTTACCTGCGGGGTTTAATGGACGTATTTAGTATTATAATACGATTTCCGTAATATTAATTTCAATAAAAGCTGATATTTTGTTTGGTTCGCTGACCCTTTTTTGTATTTATTTTAATTTTTTCCGCTCAACATTACGGTTCACTGCCTTGTATGTGTTAGATGAATTTTCTTAATTTATATTTTTCCACCTCTCATTTCTGTTTACTATTATGATTTATTATCATCATTATTATTTTCACGCCCCCCATTTCTCTCTTTTTTTCCGCCGCCCATTTCGATTCACTAGCTTGTGTGTGTTAGCTTAGCAGCTAACTAGGCGCTTGTGCTGGTAGCGTAGCGTTTAGCTAGCCTCTGCAAGATGGCGGCGTACACATCTTCATAGCGCTTTTCTTTTTCTCCTAAAGACATTTAACCCAAAAACGCTTTTTCGCTTGCTATACGGAGATTTAAAAAAAAAATGCGCAGGAGGCCATCTGCATGTGACGCTTTGTAGTTGGAGTTACTTTCCTTCGTTTCGCCGGTAATTGGCGTTTGCTCAGCCGCCGGTGTCTGTCTATTTATTTTCTTCTCGTGATGAAAAGCGTCTTTTACCGCTAAAATGGCGGTTCGCGTAGATTTGAGCGGCTAACATGCTAACCGGCCGACATTTTTTTTCATACTCTATACGTTTGATTTCCGACGCGCATAAACGCTAATATTTACTATAACCGAGTGAGTCTTTTGGTATATTTTGGAGAGCATTTAGCCAAAAAATTAAATAAATAAACGCGTGGAAGTCGAACCCATTTCGGTGACCTAGTTAGCTTGCGCGAAGCTACAGAGTACTAGCGGGCTAATCCAGTTAGCACAGAGCTTTTGACACACGAATGCTGTTGGAATCCCAACTAAAATCAGCGCTGTGCGTGGGATTTGTGTCTCGCTAGAGAAGTGGACATGGCTTCTTCAGGGACCTCGGTTCTGCAGCCGCGCTGGAAGAGGGTTTTGGGCTGGTCTGGCCCGGTTCCTCGCCCGAGACACGGACACCGAGCTGTGGCCATTAAAGAGCTGATGGTGGTGTTCGGCGGAGGGAATGAAGGCATTGTGGACGAGCTGCACGTCTATAATACAGGTGAGAATGTTATTATATAGTAATTAAGGCGATGTTATTTGTGCATGTAATTGCATTTTATTTCTGCAGACATTAGCTCGCTATGTTATTGCTAGCCAGATTCTGTCTTTTCTGCCTTGGTTGTTAGATTTGCTATTTGCTTTTTTTTAATTATTATTACAAACGCCTCTTGACTGGTGAAATAATTCATTGCATATATAGCAGTTTACACAACTCCTTTTTATTTCTTAAGCAATTTCTCGGCTAATTGTTTAAACAGGGTTAGCCAGGTGCATTAGCGCAGTTAGCGGCTACACAAAATCTGCATAAGCGATCTGCTACATAAGCTAACTAGCCATAAAGAATGTGCACAAAAATAACAGTTGGCTGTGTAATTCAGCTCACATAATTATGACGTGTTTGCACTAACGTTAACGTTAGCGCACTTAATTTCAGTGCATCATCTGCTGAATGTGGTGTTGCATTCAGGTGCACTGTGAGCTGATCTGTGCTGTGTTATGTTAAGATGTTTATGGGTTGAAGTGTCAGCTAACCAGCTAACGCTACAGCACTAGTAGCCAAGCCCTGGAACTGGCACGCAAGAGAAATGGCGGGTTAAAAGAACGCCGCTTGCGTCATCACAACACACAGGCCCCGCCCACAATATTTCCCGCATTGCCATGTAAATACTTCTAGGATGAATGGAAGAGGTTGTAATTCGCAGTATTTCTGGTGTGGATAACTTTATTGAGGTTTAAATAATGTTGCAAAGTTGTGGGAAGGCCTGAGGAATTTTTTGAAATTGTAAGAAGTAGATGCACTCCAAAAAGCATTGCACTATATGCTGCTGAGAGATGATTTTTAAGATCGTGATATAAAGATGCACTACATTTGCATTTTGCTCATGTGTCATTTGCCGTCTTTTGGAAACTGTTTACAGCAATGCAGAATCAGTATAATTTTAGTATCATTGAGATGCTATTAAAGCATCTGCTCTAGATAGTATTGTAGTTTTTGTTGACATTTTGAACGAGTTTTTATGTTGAGTTTTTGTAATTGTTGTCATTTGTGTTTATGTATTGTCTGTAGTTTTATTAATATTTTTGTTAGTTATTTTTAATAGTATTTCAACTAATTGCCAAAGCAACATTTCTCATTTATATTATACATAAATAGTTAATTCCACAAATACACACTTCCGGTCCTTTGAAGTGTGTATTTGTAGCCTGCATGAAAATGCATGTTTTTAACAATTTCTTTATTTGTGAAAAATACTGTATGATTACAGAATCAAAAAGTTGCTATCAAAGGTAAAAATGTTTTTTTTTACTGTTTTATTTATTTTTTACATTATTTTTTCTATTTATTCATTTTAAAGTTATTTACGTCTAATTAATAAATATGTACAAAACATAAAAACTTGAATTAGCGTAATATTTTAGACCGTTTATAATCAGTTTTAGTTATTTTAGTACATGAAGTTAAACTAAATGGAAATGAGAGAGGTTGCTTTTCCAATTACCTAAAATAAACTACTTTTTCAGTTATTTTGAGCTACATGTTTTTTTATGGTTTCAGTTAACTATAATAACTAGGGATGCGCCGATCCGATATTCATATCGGGTATCGGCTCCGATAGTGCCATTTTTCTCGGATCGGGTATCGGTCAGAGAGAGCCGATCCAAATCCGAGATTCGGTTACAGCAGTCAGCTCGGTAAAGCTCTCTCCAAGATCATTCTGTGTTCCCATTATACTTGATTTGTAAATACATGTCTATGATTTTGCAAAAAGGACTTTATCTTCTTGCCGGTGTTTAATGTTGTTTTGTTACTTGCTACCGGGTGTCTGTGAGAACAAAACACGGGCGTAGAAAAGACTATAAATAGTTTTTAACGTGCACAGTAACTGAAATGTAAAACTGTTAAAAGAAAGGCTCAATAACTGTTGCACAGATATAATACTCTACGCATCAATTTCTCTTCCCTTTGTGCTTTGCAGTTTTTAACACGACGCGCTAGGCCTGTCGCAATAATGAATATATCGACTTATCGCGCAGTATATGTACATGACCTTGTACATGTACATATCGCCCATTATATTTACTTAAAAATTTATGTCACCATGTTTTGTACGTTCCACTTGCGCATGTGTCTTTTGCAGCTTCTCGTACATAACGTGTAGTCATGAGGTGCTAGTTCAAATTTAAAAAATGCTTCTACAAAAAAAGTTTCATCTGCAGATATGGTCTTGTTTAGGGATCTGTGCCTTTGTGCATACGGACATCTGACTGCTAAGTAGTGATTGTGTTTTTCAGCAATAGTGTGCACCCTTAATTTACAGAGAAAAGAAGGTCTGGGAAAAATCTGTAGATGGAAAAATCTCCATACAAGTTCTTAATGCATTTTTCTTTTTTTCTGCTTGTTATTTTGCAATTTCTGTTAGAAAATGTTTGTTTATTTATTTATTCAGGTTTTTTAAGGTATCTAATATTTTGATACTTAATTTCCATGATCTAAATATTCTTAAAAATGAATTTCGCTTACAATGTGCGCATCCGGTGTGCAGAATGATGCATTTGAAGCAACACGGCGTCAGGCTGTGACTCCATGTTGCTTCAAGCCCATATTTAGTGCAACACTTTTATTTGTTCCCCACAAAATATTGTTTTTTTATTAAATGTTTGGATTTCTAAAATTATTGTGCACTGATTTTTCTAGAATAACTTTTGCTGCCGAATTATCCACTAACCTAGTTTGATAAATTTTTGTCATAGATTATAAATATACATAGGCCTATATTTTTTCATATTTATTGTTTATTTTATTTTTCTTTGTAATGAAGTAGTCTGTATCTAGTAGATTGTGAAAGAATGATTATCAGTTCCACACACAGATATATAAATTCTACATTTATTTAAATGAGGGAAAAAAAAACTTCACTGGTATCGTTGGATCGGTATCGGCCAATACCGAACCCTAGGTATCGGAATCGGTATCGGAGGCGAAAAAGGCGGATCGGAGCATCCCTAATAATAACCCTGTTCTGCACAGAATAAAAGAACATGGTGCATTGCAACACAGCACTGAAAGAACTTTATTCATCCAAACCCACAATGACGCAACTATATGTTTCTCAACAGCCACCAATCAATGGTTTATTCCTGCTGTCCGGGGTGACATTCCTCCCGGCTGTGCTGCATATGGATTTGTGTGCGACAGCACCAGACTCCTTGTGTTCGGGGGCATGGTTGAGTATGGAAAGTATAGCAACGATCTTTATGAACTACAGGTAAGTCTCTCAGCATCATCTTTAAGGTTGAGCTCAATAGAAGTGACTGTTGTTTTTTCATAGTATCAGTCCTTATATTTGTCATAATTCATTAATTCTGTCATACTTCACACAGGCCAGTAGATGGGAGTGGAAACGTTTGAAGCCCAAAGCCCCCAAGAATGGCCCACCACCATGTCCTCGTCTGGGCCACAGCTTTTCCCTGGTTGGAAACAAATGTTATTTGTTTGGTGGACTGGCAAATGACAGTGAAGATCCCAAAAACAATATTCCCAGGTAGAAGGCCTTGTACAGTTTATGCTCAAACTAATTGATAAATGTTTGAACGGCAGATCTGCAAATAAATAGTTTCTCCATTTCTACTCCAGATACCTGAATGACCTTTACACTCTCGAGCTACGCCCGGGGTCTAACGTAGCAGGCTGGGACATCCCCATTACATACGGTGTGCTTCCCCCTCCTCGGGAGAGCCACACTGCTGTTGTCTACACTGAGAAAACGTCCAAAAAGTCTCGTCTAATCATCTATGGCGGCATGAGTGGTTGCCGTCTTGGGGACCTCTGGACTTTAGACATAGGTGAGAGAAAGTATTGGCTTAAACTATTTGTTCAAGAAATGCCAAAGCTATAACATTAAAGGGGTCCTATTATGCTTTTTCACTTTTTCAACTTTAGTTAGTCTGTAATGTTGCATAAAAAAAGATCTGCAAAGTTACAAAGCTCAAAGTCCACTTCAAAAGGAGATATTATATTTAACAGAAATCACTTTTCAAAAACTACAACGAACGACTCGTTTGGACTACAACGCATATTTTCCGGGATTTGTGATATCACAAATATCGACAAATGGGACGAGACCTGGTTGAGCTGCACTAGAGAAGGCAACGAGTGTTATCACTATGTCGGAGACACGCTAGCTTTCCCAAGGCAGACGAACTTAGAGTGATTACAATCATCCGGGTTTAAATCGTGCTCAAATTGATTTGATTTTGAGAAATATTTACACTGAAGCTGGCAGCAGGCGGCTATGGTAAGGGGCAGGACATTTCCCGACCAGGTGCCGAGTGCTGCCAATCACAGCACACACTGGCCCAGCTAACCAATCACAACACATTTCGTATTTCAGAAGGCGGGCCTTCATTTCATACAGGAACTATTCGAGTCGTTCATGCCAGACTGGGGAGAGAGGTATTGTAATAATGTAAAATATGTGAAAAATAATGTGTATGATGTGTAAAATGTGTAAAAACAACCTAGTATGAGAGCCTGTTCTAGTACACCCCCAAAACAAAATCAAGACTTTGTAAAACAGCATAATAGGACCCCTTTAACTTCTCTATTGTTGTTTAGTCGTAGTACAAGCAGGATGTGACGGTTGGTCGGTATTAGTCCCGCCCCTCCTCCACTGTGATTGGTTAGCTCACTAAACAGTGACAGTTTTACTCAAAGTTGAACATTCTTCAACTCTCAGCGCTGAGGAAAAAACGCCCGAGCGTTCAGCATGAAAAAGCCGCTCAGCGCTCGGCATGCTCTTGGCATTTTAAAAAACGCAGCGCTCCCATTGAGAACAGTTGAAAAAATACACTAGTGTAAGTCGCTTTGGATAAACGCGTCTGCTAAATGACTAAAAGTAAAGTAAAGTAAATCAAGACTTTGTAAAAGAGCATAATAGGATCCCTTTAAATAACGTGCATGAACTGTGATTTGTTTTGTAGATACTTTAACCTGGAACAAACCTGCCGTAAGTGGTGCGGCACCTTTGCCCCGCAGTCTCCACTCTGCCACCACTATAACCAACAAGTAAGTTATAACTTCCTCAAACCTGTTTAAACATGCAGTGTTTATTTAAACATTGACTGTCTTCAGGCTTGGAAATGATTGTGCATTTTATTTTGTGCAGATTTAAAGTTGACATGAAGTCATTATTGACCTTCCTAGTCTTATTGTCCATGTTATTTCAAAGAAACAAATTAGTGGTTGACCTCTATGATATTTGGCATTTTAGGTTTTTCTGTTTGTCTGAGTGTCAGAAGCTTTTATTTTGACAGTGCTGAAAATGCACCTGATCACAGATGGAAAGGAGCTCCTGTTCTCCCTCAGCAGTAGTTTACTGCCTTTCCTCATGAGTTCTGTCTATTAAATTAATAGACAGAGCACTTAAACAGTGTATAAAAGTATTATAGTGTTTGCTTTTCTGTTATTAGTAATATTTAATAATGTTACTGAATAGTAATAGAAAGGCTAGTGATATAATACTTTCTCATAGCGCCGACATTTAGCAAATACACATTTAATGCATTTAATCAAGTCATTAAATATCTAGTAAATTATTAATTCCGCAAACTATAGCAAATTCAGCTGTTAGATGTTATGAAGTTGTATCCTACATATAAATGTGTCTTTTTAACAATTTCTTTATTTGTAAATTATTTCAGTAAATATTATGGAAAATATATATTTAATTGCAGCATGCATTATTTATTATCTTAAATAGTGTAAGTAACTTTAGTAGTGTAACTAAATGTAGCTAAATGGTTTATATATATATATATATATATATATATATATATATATATATATATATAATCGACTTTGGCTTGAATAAAGGTATTCGCATTGGCCATAAAAAAAAATCCATATATTTTTTTTTTTTCCAATAAAACAAATCTTTGTCTTAATGAATGTCTTTGTCTTTCTTTTTTGGAAGTGGATACAGTTAAGTGCAACCCTACAGTTTTCATAATTTCACATCACAAAAGTAAAATGTGTTGAACCATGTTGACCTAATTAGTTGTCTAGTTAGTGTGGATATAACTAACTTTGGTCTCATGTTTTCCTAGGATGTTTGTGTTTGGTGGATGGGTTCCTCTGGTCATGGATGATGTCAAAGTGGCGACACACGAGAAGGAATGGAAGTGCACAAACACGCTGGCTTGCTTAAATCTAGGTACGTTAAACAAAGAAGCCAAAGGTCTTTAAAAGAGAACATCCTCTTATGCCTTAAAAATGCTGCCTCTGTTCATAGCTCATTAGGTTTCAGAACACAGCTTATATGCTTTATCATCACTGATCTTGACCTTTATTTCCTTTAGACTCAATGTCCTGGGAAACCATCTTGATGGACACGCTCGAGGATAATATCCCAAGGGCCAGAGCCGGACACTGCACTGTGGCTATAAACAATAGGCTGTTCGTCTGGAGTGGAAGAGACGGCTACCGCAAAGCCTGGAACAACCAAGTTTGCTGCAAAGATCTGTGGTATTTGGAAACGGGTGAGTTGAGCTGATTCCTCAGTGTAGAAGAAGCTTTAATACACCTAACCCATTACAAATACTTACATCCTCAATAAATATTTATTGATTATTTTTTCCTATTTAATACTGTAAAGCTGCTTTCACACAATCTGTGTTGTTAAAAGCGCTATATAAATAAAGGTGACTTGACTAAATGGCGAGCCCAGTGTTATCAGTGTAGCACAAATAAACATTGCTAAATCTTTCCTGTGGTTGGTAGAAAAAGGTGGTCTACACAGTAATACTATAGTATTTACACACACAAGTTTTGTTTTTATTTCTTGTTTATATATAGTTTAGTACATTTTCCTTTTCTATGTTTCACTAGTTTTCCAACATGAATATAGCTGTATTTAATGGTTCTAAATTAAACAAACAAATTATTCCACTTACTCATAATATTATTTCAGACAATGTTTAAAATCTCATCTTTCGCTAACAGATCGTCCTCAGCCTCCGTCACGTGTGCAGCTGGTCCGTGCCAACACCAACTCTCTGGAGGTGAGCTGGGGGGCAGTGCCTACCGCTGACACTTACCTGCTGCAGCTGCAGAAATATGACATCCCTGCTGCAACAGCTGCCACATCGCCAACGGTCAACCCAACCCCGTCTTTACCCATCAACTCACCTAAGAGTCCGGCGCCTGCCGCTGCTGCTCATGCAGCTCAGAGTCTGCCCCTCTCTGGGGTCACAATGGTGCCACAAGTTCCTTCCCCCACCACCGCCATGCCAAGCAGCCCGCTTGCAGCCTCACTTCGTGGACCAGGTACAAATGGCTTTCTGGTTTTTGCAACTGGCAGACTGCTGTGCAACTTTCTGTGAAGAATGATATTAATAATTGTGACGTTACCTAAGATAATTTATACTTTCCGTTTCCAGCTATTCTCAAAGTGGCAGCGCCTCATTCCACACTTGGGACGTCAGTCGTTACTGTGCGTCAGGCCACTCCTGGAGGAAAATCCCCAGTCACGGTTACATCACTTCCTGCAGGTGTCCGCATGGTTGTCCCTGCACAGAGCACCCAGGGGACGGTATGTATATAATCAGTATCAGTGTAAATCTTACATAAGGGCTGCACGATTAATCTAAATAAAAGTGAAAAATTTCACAAACCCCAAAGGCTGCAATTTTTATTAAATAAATATATGCCTTGCTTGTTTTAGAGTGAAGTGCGGCACTATTCTTTTACAAACATGCAAGCTCATGATCTGGTGTGGAAATTAGGAAATTAAGACAAATATTAGCGTTGTAATTTTACAGCAAAATATTACAATAGTATCGTTATTTGTCCTATTATGCTTTTTCACTTTTTCAACTTTAGTTAGTCTGTAATGTTGCTGTTTGAACATAAAAAAGATCTGCAAAGTTACAAAGCTCAAAGTCCACTTCAAAAGGAGAGATTTTATTATTTACAAATAATTTATTAATAAATAACAGCTATTACTATTATCGGTGTTGTTGTTGTTTTATTGATATAAAATCACAACATTTTAGGCACAATTTTTATCCGAAATGTATCAATTCAATTTTTTTCCCCCCAATCATTCACTCCTGTCTCAAATGTTAGTGTCCCATGTTGAACTTGCATTGAAACCCTTTGTAACACTGTTTTGGTCTCTAGCCAATCGGCAGCAGTCCTCAGATGAGTGGCATGGCTGCTTTGGCTGCAGCTGCAGCTGCCACACAGAAGATCCCGCCCTCTTCCACGACCACTGTGCTAAATGTTCCAGCTGGAGCCACCATCATGAAAACCATCGCTATGACTCCTGGATCCACAACTCTGCCAGCTACTGTCAAAGTAGCTTCACCTATAATGGTACGTATCAGACACTATTTAAACTGAAATGAGTTGGGTGATGACATCACTGAATTCAATGATGAACTGCCTTTAACTGAAAATTGAGTGTTTACTATTGTCATTTTGCATTATTGACACAATATTTTCCTAATTAATGCTGTTCAGTTGCTTTGACACAATCTGTATTGTTAAAAGCGCTATATAAATAAAAGTGACTTGACGTATTGACTCTCATAACCAGACCTTTGACTAAACAACATTAGTGCCTTTCGCACCGCTTTAGTTCCAGAACTAAATGTACAGTACTAAAGTACTGGGACGATTTTGCGCGAACTATTTCCCAGTACCATTTAAAGGGTTGCATTCGCACCGAGAGTTGTGTACTAAGAAGTGACGTAAGCCGATCAACAGCTTCGTCATTTGTGCGCGGCGTTCAACAATGGAAACAAAGAAGAACAACATTAACAACAGGAGGATGGAAGACGCTGTGATCGGAGCTGTGTTTTTGTTGTGTCTCGCGGGTTTCACAATAATGGACATGGAAAGTCGACGTATACGTAAAGCGATTGAAAGAACGGAAAGGATCTGTAGCTTATTCTGTCTGAGAACCATCCAGACATTAGGCATCTTTTACATGCCTAAAATGGATTATTATTAATAAATTGAGATGATGTACTGTAGGTGTTTTGGGTTAACTGTCTGTCTAATGTGTTCTTAAAATGATAAAACAGGAAAAAAAAGAATGTTTCATCAACTTCCCTTTGTCACATCCTTCCAGACTTGAATCATCCAGATTATCCACTTCTTGTCCTGTAGCTGTTTGCGATTTAATGTGTCTTTGTTCCTACTTCCATTCCAGGTTACTAATCCCGCAACCCGAATGCTGAAAACGGCTGCAGCTCAGGTCGGCACTTCCGCCATCTCTACTCCTAACACTCCGAATCGGCCGATCATCACTGTGCACAAATCAGGCACCGTAACCGTAGCCCAGCAAGCTCAGGTCGTCACCACCATGGTCGGAGGAGTCACCAAAACTATAACCCTTGTTAAGAGCCCCATTACAATGGGTGGCAGCGGTCCTCTGGTAAGAAAAAGGAAAAACAAAAACAACAGTTTGTCTGGACTTAAAATTAGTTAACAGTGACAAGAATTCAACGTAGTTCATAATTATGGGCAATTCCAAACACGAAAACTCTTCCTTCTTTCTTTTGTTTTTTTTTCTATTTGTTGTTTTTTGTTCTGCTCAACCCCTGTGATCTAAATTAAGTACCACTATAGGATTATTTTCTAACCTTTCCATAAGGAATAAATATAATGATTCATCATATGGCAAATGTTTTTTTGGGGGGGGTTTTTTTATGATCCAACTTTGGTTTTGTAGCAGTTGACTTGGGTATCCTCAAGTAATAACCATTTGTTTTCAGATCTCCAGCCTTGGGAAGATGATGTCTGTTGTCCAAACCAAACCAGTACAAACCTCTGCGGTCACCAGGCAGGCTGGAAGCAGTCCTGTTACTCTAATACAAGTCAGTGTTCCTGCTCATTTTATGTGCATTTCTTACCTAAACTTATGAATTCTTAAAGGGATAGTTCACCCAAAATGAAAATTGTCATCATTTACTCATCCTCAAGTTGTTCCAAACCTGTATGTGTTTCTTTCTTTTGTTGAGCACAAAAGATCTTCTGAACAGTGTTGGTAACCAAACAGTTGACGGTAGCCATTGACTTCCATAGTATGGGGGGAAAAAAATATGGAAGTCAATGGCTACTGTCAACTGTTAGGTTACAACACCCTGCAAATGATCTTTTATACAGGTTTGGAGCAACCGGAACATGTTATTAAATTAGGTATTTTCACATGCTTTCAGATGGAGCAGCATTTACTACACAGAGCCGTAGTTCACTGAGAAGCTACGCAAACCGCTTTCATAATCGCAGAACGATATCTTCGATTTCATTATTGCGCGATTATATCGTCTGCGATTATGAACGAGATTTTGCGTAGCTTGTCACTGAACTATGGCTCTGTGTAGTAAATGCTGCTCCATCTGAAAGCACGTGATGGAGATTTACTACTAATCACAGAACCGGCTTTACTGACAAGATGCGCATGACTATC